CCAGACAGAGGGGAGGGGACACAGGGGTAAAGTTCAAATGCAATTAAGCGAAAGTCAGTTTCGGCTCCGCAGAAGAACATGCCAGAATGTTGATCCTAATAAATGAATGGATTTCTTTTGAACTTTGTCTCGAGGCTCGTAAATTAATTAGGTCATCTTCTGGGAACTTCACAAGGATTTTATTAAAATAAATTTGATAAAACGGGGAAAAAAATCTGATTTTAAAAAAATCATTGATTTTTATCCACCCTTCTTGGTAACCAGGTCATCATCTTACAGCTGGTTGTACCATTCTGTAGTCAAGCAACTAGGATTTATAACTTTTATTTGGCTGGTTTCCAAACTTCTTCAACCAGCTTCTGGCAAAACCACTGTAGGAATACATAGGTTTGCTTAACGAAGGCTGTGCTCATTAACGACCCCTGCAAAAGTCCTAAATTCAGATCGGGTGACATGGATGCTCATCAGCATCCATACCTGAAGACTCTGAGACGACCCAGGAAGAGCTGGGGGTGGATGCAAGGCTGTAGGCATCACAGCAGGCGAGGACACATGGAGTCCAGAAGCAGATAGCTGGGGCCCTGGAAAAGAGAAAATGGAGAAAAACAGAGTCAATTTCAGGAGCTAGATAAGCACATGTCTGCAGAAACCAGAAGAAACTAGAAATAATTCTTCTGAAGGTGATTTCTAGGTTAGTTCTAGAACCCGTCTGATCTTGGTGGCATTCTGAACATAAGCCAATGCAGAAACCAGAAGAAACTAGAAATAATTCTTCTGAAGGTGATTTCTGGGTCAGTTCTAGACCCCAAGTTTGATCTTGGTGACATTCTGAACATAAGCCAATGCAGAAACCAGAAGAAACTAGAAATAATTCTACTGAAGGTGATTTCTGGGTCAGTTCTAGATCCCAAGTCTGATCTTGGTGGCATTCTGAACATAAGCCAATGCAGAAACCAGAAGAAATTAGAAATAATTCTTCTGAATTATTTTCCTCAATTATTCTCCTGATTTCTGGATGGGTTCTGGAACTCAAGATACCCAGGAGTAGCATCCAACTGAAGATGCAGAGCAATTTTACAGCTGCACAGAATAAAATGACGAGGGGAAGAATTTTTAGGCTCTTCAACCAAGTTTCTAGTCCCTCTGGTCCCACTGGACTTTTTTTTTAACACAATTTATTTTATTTTATTTTAATTCAAGCATCATCTTCCATTGAACAGTGTGTTGTCTGGGTACATACATTTTGTGCAAATATTTTATACAATAGCAATTACAAATTAAAGTCATCTTTATTATTTTATCTATTCTTAACTTAATAATACTTAATACCTAATACTATAACAATCATTTTCTTAATTTATTTAACTTTGTTAAAAGATTTTCTCTATTTTGCTCTTCTGCTTTTTTCCCCACTTTTCATATTTATTCTCTCACCATTGATAAAAATAATTAACCATTGATAAAATGGCTTTTGGGGAGTTTGCAGACTACATGCTAACACAAAGCCACTAGGGTGCAGGGAAAGGCATTGATTTTTGTCACTACCGTATTTTTCGGAGTATTTCCCTCAAAAAAGAGGCTGAAAATCTGGGGGTGTTTTATACACTGAATACAGCATTTTTTGCCTCCCGAAACCCCGCCCCCTTCACCAAAATGGCCATGCATAGCCTTTAGGAGGCTTTCAGAGTGCTCCCGGGGGCTGGGAAGGGCAGAAATGAGTGAAAAACAGGCTGTTTTTTGCTCAATTTTACCACCCCAGCCCCCAGGATCACTCTATAATCCTCCTAAAGGCAATCCATGCACTTTTTGTGACAAAAAAGGGCCAGTTTTTTGCAAAAAACGGGCTGTTTTTTAATCGTTTTTGGGGCTCCCACTCCCCCTGGAGCACTCTGCAAGCCTCCTAAAGGCTATTCATGCCCTTTTTTGGGGGGGGGGGAAACGGGCCCGTTT